CAAATTCCTTTAGTTTTTGTTTGTCCTGGAAGCTTTTTATTTCTCCTTCTATTTTCAATGGCAACCTAGCTGGATATGGTATTCTTGGCTGCATATTTTTCTCATTTATTGCTTTGAATATACCATACCGGTCCTTTCTGGCCCGCCAGGTCTCTGTGGATAGGTCTGTTGCCAATCTAATGTTTCTACCATTGTAGGTTACAGACCTCTTGTCCTGAGCTGCTTTCAGGATTTTCTCTTTGTCTCTCAGACTCATAGGTTTTACTATTAGATGTCGGGGTATTGACCTATTTTTATTGATTTCGAGGGGTTCTTTGTGCCTCCTGAATTTTGATGCCTGCTTCCTTCCCCAAATTAGGGAATTTCTCTGCTATAATTTGCTGCAGTATACCTTCTGCCCTCCTCTCTCTTCTTCTTCTGGGATCCCAATTATTCTAATATTGTTTCATCTTACGGTATCACTTAACTCTCGAATTCTGCCTTCCTGATCCAGTAGTTGTTTATCTCTCTTTTTCTCACCTTCTTTATTTTCCATCATTTGGTCTTCTATATCACTGATTCCCTCCTCTGCCTCATTGATCCTAGCAGTTAGAGCCTCCATTTTTGATTGCACCTCATTAATAGCCTTTTTGATTTCAACTTGGTTAGATTTTAGTTCTTTTATTTCTCTAGAAAGGGTTTCTCTAATAACTTCCATGCCTTTTTCAAGCCCAGCTATTATCTTTAAAATCATCATTCTGAACTCTAGTTCCGAATTCTTACAAATGTCTGTATTGATTAGGTCCCTAGCAGTCAGTACTGCCTCTTGTTTTTTTTGTTGAGGTGATATTTTAGTCTTGTCATTTTGTCCAGAGGAAAACAGATGAATGAGAGAACAAAATGCTAAAAGGGTAACAACGTCCCCAGAAAATATACACTAAACAAGTCAGAAGAGACCTGAAACCGGGGGAAAAGAAAGGGAAAGAAAGAAAAAAGAAAAAGAAAAAGGTAAAAACAAAAAAAACCAGAATATGATCAAATATGATCAGGCTGGTGCATAGATCAGTGCCACACACTAGATTTGGGGCATAATTTGGTCTGTGAGAAGAAAGCACCTCCCAAAATTTTAAAGAAAGAAAAACTTACATATGTACAAAAATAAAGGTTAATACGATGAAGGGATGGAATATGACTGTAAAGATGAAAATTATAAAAGATTTTATAAAAGGAATTGATTAGATAAGTTCGTTTGAAAAAGAAAGAAGAGGATTTAAAAAAAAAAGGAGGAGCAAATGAGATCAGCCAAGAGACTAGAACAAAGCTATATACTAGAGATTTAGGGTATATTTTGGTCTGTTAGAAGAAACTGTATCCCACAATTTTAAGGAGAGAACAACACACACCAAAATATATACACACACACCAAAAATAAGTATATACACACACACACCAAAAATAAGGTTAACTACTATGAATTGATAGAATATGACTCTAAAAATGAAAAATAAAAAAGATTTTTTAAAAAAGGGATTGATAAGATGTTGGTTGAAAAAGTGAAAAAGAAAAATTCAAAAAAAAAAATTAACTTTGAAAGACTAAAGAATCATGGGAAAAAAGCCATGAATTCTATGTGCAGTATTCCCCTAGCGCTGGAGTTCTGCCATTCTCATTGATCGGTAAACTTGGTCTTGGCTTTCTGTTCTTGCTGATCTTCTGGGGGAGGGGCCTGTTGCCGTGGTTCCCAAATGTCTTTGCCGGAGGCGGAATTACCCTGAAGTTCCTGGGCTAAGTAATCTGCTCGGGTTTGCTCTCGGGAGCTTTTGTTCCCTGCAAGCTTTCCATACAGCTTTGGAGGCAGAGAGTGAAAATGGTGGCCTCCCAATCTCCACCCCAGAGGAGCCGAGAGCTTGGGGCTCCACTCCTCAGTGTGCCCCCAGAGAAAAGCAGTCAATTACTCCCGTCTCCCCGGTCTCCCGCTGCACTCCATGCTCACCTGGCCTGTGATCGAGCGTTTCTATCTCTGGCCCCCAACCCTGTGTGGAATCTGCAAACCCAGCAGATCCCTGCGGTGCGCTCCCGTGCCGCTCCTCCCAGGGGAGGAAGGAGAGTCTCCCAGGATCTGCTGCTTGTTGGGTCCCTGCTGGAAGAGCAGTGGCCCGACTGTGCTGCAGATCACGGTTTATGGCAATCCCGAGCTGAGAGCCCGCGCCTCAGCTCTGTCTCTGCAGCCGGCTTTCCCGCTCCGATACGTGGGAGCTCTGCCGCATTGAGGCACCCCTGGTCTTTCTGTGACCCTGGGGGTCCTGAGACCACACTGTCCCCATGAGGGTTCCACCCCCTGCTTAGCCACTGGAGCAACGTCCCTCAGCAGAGCCGACTTCTAAAAGTTCCGATTTTATGTTCTGCTGCTCTATCACTTGCCAAAAGTGGCCAATGGAGGCCCCCTCCCCACTGTCTATGCTCCCGAATATCGCCTCGGATTCACTTCTCTGCACGTCCTACCTTCCAGAAAGTGGTCACTTTTCTGTTCAGAGAGTTGTTGCTATTCTTTTCTTCGATCTCCTGTTGAGTTTGTAGGTGTTCAGAATGGTTTGATCCCTGTCTAGCTGAATTCCTGTGACCAGACGAAATTTAGGTCTCCTACTCCTCCGCCATCTTGCTCCTCCCCTGCTAAGATGAATTTAATAAGCTGCAAGAAGTCTGTGTTCTGTCCTTGTTTTATAATTAGTCATTAACATGAAGCCAATGCAAGATTCCCAGCACAGGGCATCTTCTACCACACGAAAATTCTGCTTTTAACCTTAAGCTAGTGCTGTAACCAGACGTGAGGCTGAGCACTGGTAGCATTACCAGTCTCTCCTTTCTCCTCTTACTCTGCTGAGATTCTCTTTGATCTACTCTTTATTAATTTTATTGTGTATATGCACTTTATGGTAATGCCCTCCAACTCATTTTGAAAACAGGAGTGTAAAATGGAATAAACAGAAGATGGCATTTTAGTCATAATGAATATATGTAATAAGGTCTTAGTAAGAATAAATGATAAAATCACTTTAGCTTTTTCTTTTGCATTGTTCCTTTACATTCATCCATCTTAGAATCATTTTCAGTATGAATATTTAAAACCTTGTTTTCAATATATTTAATGATTTTAGCTCAACTTTCACATTTTTACCCTTTTAAAAAGTGTGGTAAATGTGAATTGAAACATAGAGAACAGATACATTGTGTAAGGGTCATTTTAAATATGATTTTTCAAGTGGTTGGAACAGACCTGCCTGATGATAAAGTGTTTTCTATTTCTCAGAGTTTTCCTATGTGTATGTTAAAGAAAAATTTCTCTTGTAATTAAAAAGCCAGTTTGCCCCTATCACATGCATAGGACAACTTCCATCGACTGTGGGAGTCTATTTGCATCTGGGATGGGCAGAAATATTTGCAGGTTGGCACCTTAAGGAGCACAGTTAGCTCTGACAACAGATCAGGGAAGTTGCACAGACTTTGGATATAACTATTCCCTCTAGTAAGATTAGGAAAGCCTTTGGGGCTCACCTGAGAAGGACTTGGCACTTCTTTCAAGGCAGATATATTTTGTTTTGAATTTTAAAGGATGTGGAACATTTTGGCAGAGGTAAGGAACTAGGCCATTTCAAGGTAAGGAAATATCCAAAATATGTGCATAATTGTCTGGTGGCGTTGCCCATGTGACCATTCATAGTGCCGTGGACCATAAGGCTAGAGGAGGGACACAGAGAAGTAAGTAGACTCTTAAGGAAAGTACTCTGATAGGGAAATGCAGACAACTGTGTGTATGGAGGTACTTACTGGAGGCTAGGTGGAGTGGCAGTCAGGGACACCTTGGAGGAAGTAATGTCCACATTGTGCCCTGAGGAATGGGAATTAAAGAGGCAAAAAAGAAGGGAAGAGAGGAAGGAAGACTACATGCAAAGGCCAGGAGCAGGAGACACTAAGTCGAGGAACTGGAAGAATCTCAGTGGAAGCATTGAATTCTTTTTACTCTTATGTTATATTAACAGGTGCCTGCAGAACATGCAAGTAGAGCTCTCTAGTATGCAGATAGAAAAGTTCAGGAAACCAGAGAGGTCTGGGCTGAACATGGAGATTCAGAAGTCAACAGTATACAGGTGTTAACTGGAGCTGTGAGAATGGAGACCAGAACCCCAGCAGAGGTGGGGTGGCGCAGGAGGGGAGAAAGCCAGAGCAGTCACTTGACTGGGAAATGAGGAGGTGCACATGCAGTGAATGTGGAACATTGTTTCAAGAAATTTGGCTTTAAAATTAGTTCTAGCTAGAGGGGGGAATCTGGGCTCAAGGGAACTTTTTTGTTTGTTTTTTTGTTTTTAAGATGAGGTAGATTTGGAACATGTTTAAATACTGATGGGGAGTTGCTGGCGAAGTAGGATAGACTGAAGAAGGAGAGGCAGGGTTACTGGAAACAGAAAGACCAAGGAGGAGGTTCAGAGCAGAGATGGGAACAAACATAGAAGAGTGGGAACCCCCCTTCACTTAACAGCCTGCAGATGGAGGAGAAGCTGGGCAAACACCTGTGCCTTGTGGGTAAAGGTTGAGGGCATTCTTGCTTAATGAGTTCTGTTTTCTCTGAAGTCTGCAGTGAGTTCATCTACTAAAAAGCAGAGAGGAGTTGGTAGAGCTGGAGAGGAGGCTAGAAGCAGCCACTGTAGAGAGAGAGAGAGAGAGCTGTCTCAAGAAATAGAACAGTTGTACTGAGAGCTTTGTCTTTCCCCAGTTACAGCCAGCACTAGCCACAGACACTAGAGGGATTTTGAATCAGTAGCTTTGTTCATGGTGATAACTGATTTCTCTGTAGCTCAGATCCTGGTTACAGTTGATCAAATGAATTTTGAGAAACTAAAAGAAAAACAAGATCAAGTGCTCTTTATTTTAAAGTTCATTTTATTCATAGCAATTTAAAATATTTTGTTAAAAATCATTCTTATTCCAAATGAGGGTGATTCAATTCTCTTGTTGGTTGGTTCTAGACGCTCATGGTGGCGTGGATCCGAGCAAACCTCTGTGTGTACATTTCCCGAGAGCTCTGGGATGACTTCCTTGGCGTGCTGTCCTCCCTCACGGAATGGGAAGAACTCATAAATGAGTGGGCCAACATCATGGACTCCTTGACAGCAGTGCTCGCGAAAACGGTTTACGGAGTTGAGATGACAAACCTACCTCTGGACAAATTAAGTGAACAAAAGGAAAAGAAGCAGCGAGGCAAAGGTACCTCCACTCTTACAGAGTAACACCAGATATCTGAGATTGAGGAGGAGTGTGTGTCTATACATTTAGGCAATTAATATGCGTGGAATTTAATAAAAAACGGAACCAGCCATATAGACGGTGTCTTTTTTTTTTTTTTTTTTTTAAGATTTGATTTATTTATTTGACAGAGAGATAGCAAGAGGAGGACCACAAGCAGGGGGCGTGGGAGAGGGAGAAGCAGGCTTCCCGCCAAGCAGGGATCCCGATGCAGGGCTCGATCCCAGGACCCCGGGATCATGACCTGAGCCGAAGGCAGACGTTTAACAACTGAGCCACCCAGTCGCCCCTAGGCGGTGTCTTTTTAATGGCGGTGTTGAACTGTGTTTTGTAGCCCTCTGTCCTCTTAATGAGGATGATGAATTTATGAAGGAGCTGTGAATGAAGAAGGAAGATGAAGGGGAGTAGCAGTAGTAGCAACAATAATAATAATGGCTCATGCTTGTATGCATTCTCTCTCTTGACTCTTTAACATCTGAGTTATCATCCAAGTATCATAGAGAAACTGAAGTACAGAGAGTTGGTGCTGACGGACTCATTCAAGGTACATAGCTAAGAAGTGGGAAAGCCAGAAATCAAAGCTAGGCAAGTCCAGCTCCAGGCAGCACACTAGAAAGACGTATTCTACTGCCTGCTTAAGATAGGTGGAAAAATCCTAAATGTTTCAGATAGGAGTCATTTTGACCTTTTCTGTGTTTCTGGGTAAAAATTGTTTTGAGAGCTAGAGTCAGATCAAGGTGGAAAACATTAGTGGTGGTTTCTATTGGGGACAACAATTTGTCTTCCTTAACTGTTTTAAGGCTATGATACAGTCCTTGGATTAATTCACTTGTACTCCAATTTATTATGTAAAGATTTTGAGGCAGTTCACAGAAGTACCTATAATACAATAGATAGGAGCGCCTGGGTGGCTCAGTTCGTTAAGCGTCTGCCTTCATCTTGGGTCATGATCCTGGAGTCCTGGGATTGAGTCCTGCATAGGGCTCCCTGCTTGGCGGGGAATCTGCTTCTCCCTCTTACCCTACCACCTCTTGTGTTCTCTCTCTCATTCTCTCTCTCTCTCAAGTAAATAAATAAAATCTTTAAAAACAATTAAAAAAATAAAAATAAAATAGATAAAATGCATAAGGACACTGGGGCAAAATTAAAGGGGGTGGAGTTGCAGGAGTTTTTAAAATGCCAGAATGCATGCCGGAGAGCTTCCTATGCTTGCTGGGGTGGGGGGAGGGGGGCAAGCTTAGATTTGACTCTGATCTTCACAGGGTTACAGCAGAGGATCACAGATTACAAAAGGGGAAAATCCGCAGCTTAGGTGATACATAGCTTTTCCTGGTCCTAAAATCTGGGCAGAGTTTCTCCTCCAAAGATTCATAAGGTATACATTGCTTGCTGTGGGTAGACTACAGCCTCAACAATAGCCTTATTATAGACTGTATCAGCTTTTCCTGTGTGACAGATCACCCCAAAACATAGTGGCTTACAGTAACAGCCAGTTGTTTAGATCATGATTTTATGAGTTGGCAATTTGGTTTGGACACAGTTGGGCAGTTCTTCTGCTGGATTCACTCCTGTGTTTGCAGTCAGCTAGGCTGTCAAATAATCAGCTAGACAGCTCTAGAGTTGGCCAGCTGTCAGCTGGGGCAGTGGTAGGGGGACTTGGCCATAAACCTTTCATCACCCAGCAAGCCAGCCCAGGCTTTTTTTGTGAGAACTTAGGGTTCCAGGAGCAGCAACAGGGCAAGCCCAGATTTTCAAGTGCATTTCATATCTCTGCTTGCTTGATTTTGCTACCAAAGTAAGTCATGTGATGAAGCCCAGGATCATTGTGGGAGAGGAACACAGAGGATGTGGATGTGGGGAGCTATGAACCAACTATGGTGATTATTTAACCATACAGACATGTAATTAATGTGACTGATTCTTATAATATCTTCGCTGCAGTCTGGGAGTGGCTGTATTTATTTATAGGAAGGTAAACAATTTGAAAAACACTATGGAATGATAATGAATTTATTTAATTAATGACTATGGCAAATATTTCTGATTTATCTATTATATTGCTTTATTCTAAAAATGAATTTAAATATTCATTATGGAAATACTTGCCTTCTAAGCACTGGATTTGTGGAAACAAAGTACACTCTCAGGAACCTGGGTGTGAAAATGATCCACAGGGGGCAGCCACCAGCACATTACCTGTGCAGAAATCTCTGTCTCATTCTCTTTTCTCCTTTATCTCTTTTGGATCCTTGACCACTCGTTTGAAATATTTAACCAGAGCTCTATGAGAGGAAAGCAGAGAAGTGGTACCTAATTTTGCAACAAGAGAAGTTGCTGATTATATACAGTTGTATTTATGAAATTTGCTGAGCAACACAAGCTGTGGAATGAATGATAATGAATTCAGCCTTTATATTATTTTTCTTGTCTTATCCTTTATCAGGCTGTGTTCTAGATTCTCAGAAAGGAACCACTGTGGGGAGATCCTTTTCTCTCAGCTGGCGGAGCCACCCAGATGTGACCGAGCCAATGAGATCTAGGAGTGCCACCACATCTGGGGCACCAGGAGTTGAGAAAGCAAGAAATATCGTTCGCCAGAAAGCAACGGGTAAACCTTTATTTAAATGTTTCTCTAAGGTCTAGTTGCTATCTGTAAATGGATTTATAGGAATAAAATGTTTTAAAAGTTCTAAAATTCCACTCAGAACTCAAATACATGGCCTTTTATTAAATGGGATGTTTCCATATCTTTTAGTTGTCTGTTCTGGTTACTCTTCAAATCTGTTTTTGATACTTATTTCTGAATCTTTCATTGTGAAAAAGACCTTGAGATGTTAATGCTGAGTGAGATACCTGTGCAAAAGAGAGAAAATAGATATTTTGTTTGAACCCTGAAGAAAATAGATTCTCAGTAATCACACAGTTGTACTACTATTGTTGAGCAGCGTTAATCTTAGTGTGGCACTGTTCCAACAAAGAAAAAGAGAATAATGCACTTAGTTTGCAGGACTGGAGGGGGATATTTAAGTGTTTTGCTTCTTTTAGGAAATGGGAGCTTTACATGCCTGGAGCTGTTGTTCTTCTAGCCTGTTAGAACTAACAAGAACTTGACCAAGAACCCCCAGTTTTTTGGACTGGTTTGCTACACTTCACTTTAAAACCAAAAGATAAATCTTTAAAAAGTAAGCTTATATCCAGTATTTAATAAGAGCAAGTAAAGCCCCTTCCCCCCAGTGACTTTGAGGCTGTAACTACATTTAAAACAAATTTATCTGAGTTTCCTGTAGTTTTTCACATCAGTAATACCATGCTGTCATAATCGATATTCAGCATGTTAACTACAGAAAGTCACAATATCCTCTGGTCATAAACCAGAGTCATTACACTCAGCGTATCTTACAGTGCTTAGTAAAGGCTTCGTACAGATGGCTTAGAATCCTGTTGGAGTCTTTATGAAAATATATTATACCTTAACCCTAATTGTCTAATGCTCTTTGCCATAGCATTTGTTGATAATTATCACCTTATTTACATTCACCTCTTGTTCTGCTTCTCCTGCTTTCCTTCATCTCTCCCCTGAGGAGAGACTCAGTTCCTAATAACAGGCAACTTTGGGGAAGGCTTACTCAATGATTTCCATTCTTGTTCCAACTCCTAAAAATTCCTTTCTTCCATCTTTGGATCAGAGCAAAAGTTTGTGACAAAGTGGCATCATGCCTCAACTGCCCAGACTCCCTCAGGGCCCTAGAATTGTAATGATAATAAAAATGATCATTCAAAACACTGTGTAAAACTCTACTTTCACATTTTAATGAGCAGCAAAGTATTGTATATTGCATGCTCCTTATTCCCCTACTAGGCTAAAACACAGCCATAGAAGACATTGTATTTTAGTTTTTCAGCAGGTGTTTCAGACCAGCAATACGATAGTGGCACCAATATTGTTCTCGATAATCCTCGGTGCATTTATGCCAGTGAGCTTCTGTTCATCAGTGTTCTCAGGTGTCAAAACCGTGGCATTGCAGCAATAAGAACTTTTACAAAATCACGTTAAAGGTATTTAGACTATGTCACTTTAAAGTCATAAACCTGGCCTTTTTAGGATTAATTAAATTAAAAACACTTGGAACCATAACCTTTAAAAGATAATGGGATAAGAGCTATTGAGTTGGATGGGTCTCTTACCTTTATGTATTTTGTACACACATATGTATTTCCTTTTTTTTTTTTTTTTAAGATTTTATTTCTTAGTAATCTCCACACCCAAGGTGGGGCTCAAACCCACAACCCTGAGATCAAGAGTCACATGCTCCACCAGCACCCCATGTATTTCCTATTTTATTTTACACATTTATCTTTTTTAGTTGCCTGTGAAAACAACAGTCTCTGAAGATTTTATTATATCATGCTGTTTTATAAAATTAATTTATATAGACTAATAGTCACTATATAAATAAACTGGTTTTACTCAGTTCTGTTGTTTTTACATTGTGTAATAATTCTCCTTTCCATCTTTTAAAAAAGGCCTAGAATAATTTCATGGTAGATTTTGATTTGTGTGGAGGCCACCTTTTAATGAGAGAACTGCAGCTCAGGAAGTTAGTTTTTGCCACTTTTATTTAGCATTAAAGTGCTTATTATGAAAGACTCATTTGAAAGTGACTTTTTTTTTCCTAATCTCAATACAAGAATAATTTAAGATTATTATATTATAGTTTGCTTTACAGACTACTTAGATTGAGAAAATGTCAGTGATGGTGGTAAGATGGAAATAATAAAATAATCAATTGCAGAGTAGGGAAATGACAATTAATTTAACAGAGAATCAACTACTTTGCAACTTAAAAGGAACTAACAAGAGAGTCTTAAAGAATTATAAAGGAAAACTTTGTTCCTGAGTGTGAATGATGCTAAAATTTTAGATGTCTAAAATGAGTGATTAAAACAAATCAATTTCCACACAAAAAAATTATTCTAAGTCTTATTATTTCTAAAATAACTAGTGATCAGTTTCGGGAAAATGCATAATCATTTCATTTATAAAAGGACCTTGAGAGATGAACACATCTTTTAGGAAATTTGAAGTAAGTCAGTTTGACATTCGCATGGGAGTCATTTTCCCTTAAATATTATCTTACCCATTTGTGAAGTGTACTGTAATCACTTTAGATGTGGGAGTTAGAACTGGGAATTTGACAGCCAGAGGTTGGGGCCCAGGGAGACACAAAGAAGTGAAAAGTTTGTTTCACTCTTGCAAATGTATCATTCTCATTTGTATTTCTATTTCATTAATGTGAAATAAAATCACGTAAAAGTAATAGAACAGCAAGTAAACCTTTAACCTAGTTTTAAGGATAAAAGTGATCTTACTGATGGTAGTTTCATATATATGAGGTGTATTCTCTTCCTGTGTTTATCCATTTTCTCAAATGGTCATTTCACTAGCAATCTTTTGAAAACTTAAGAGTGGGGCGCCTGGGTGGCTCAGTAGGTTAAGCGACTGCCTTCGGCTCAGGTCATGATCCTGAGTCCCCGGATCGAGCAGGGAGTCTGCTTCTCCCTGACCGTCCCCCATCTCATGCTCTCTCTCTCTCTCTCATTCTCTCTCTCAAGTAAATAAAATATTATTAAAAAAAAGAAAACTTAAGAGCATCATAAAGTTCATACTAAGAGATTATGGATTTTAATAAGCACGAAATGTGTTATGGAAGGATGGGTTTCATGGAGATATTTGCCTTTTTTTCCAAATACCAAATCTTTCGGTGTTCAACTTGACTTTTATGTGTCATTTAATTTACTAAATGATTTGCTTTTGAATACAGTCAGCTCTCAGTAAACCAACTTTTGAATTATTTATTATTTGTAAAGCAATTTTAATCTTAGGCTTGATTTTTCCCTCCCCCACCCGCACGGTCTTTTCATATGTGTGTCCTCTAGGAAGGGAAAAGTAATTATAATGTCCACCCAAATAAACAACCCAAATGTGGGTCTGATACACAGCAGGAAAAAAGGAAAGCTAAACATGTAAAGCATTCTAAAATAAGATTATCTGTGAATTGTCTATTCTCCCATGTCATGAGAATGACTGAAGGTTGGCTGTATTTAGAGACTATGGTTAAATACTCTTTGTACTGACTTCTTTTAAAGTATAAAATGACCTCCTTTAAATATTGAAAGGAAGACCAGAAAAATAGCCATAAAAAAAAGTGAAAGATCCTGATGTGCTTCTGACATAAATGTTACTTTCTTTCTCCTGGAAGCCAAGCGAAGCCAGTCTATCAGCAACTGTGTCCACCTTTCTGAGGCTTTGCCTGCCACTAAAAGCGTCCCGCTCCTCCTTCACACCGTGAGCGCTCTCTTACCTGGTCTCTCTCACTCCTCTTGCTCTCACAGGCTGTCAGGTACTGTAATGCTGTGTCTTGTGTCCGTCATGTCCCCGGGCTTCTCCCGCTTGCTGCTGGGCCTTGCTTCCTTTGTTAAACCCCACCAGCCCCCCACCACGCATGCGTACCTGGCCGTTGCACTTTGCGCTTATTTTCGGTGAATATTAATCATTGTTTTTATGTAGTTAGATGTTTAGTAACAATTAAACAGTCAAGAAAAATTTATTTCTTTAACACCACTGGTCTTTGCTTTCCCAGTTAAGAGAATACAGGATTTTGTGGCCCATAGTTTTTAACAGTGATGACTGCCTCATTGTGCCTTCTGTACAATGCTTGCAGAACAGAAGTTTTGAGCATGTTTGTGTCCAAATGCTTGCTGTGCCTCCCCAAAATGGATAAACGGGAAGATTCATATAGGCAAGAACTCCTTGGGATTAATAAATCATAATCATATACAAAATAATAATTTTATGGAGATTCACACTGATTATTAAGATCTGGGTAAAAAAAGATGCTAGAAAGTACAATTTTCAAAACAAGGGGAACATTGTTCTTGTGCTCCAGCCAATTAAAATTGAGTTTAGCCACATGTGGTTTGCACACAGTGTTTTTCTGGATTATTAAGACATTATAGCACCAAAAGTGGTGATTTTTGGCATAGACCCCTCAACAACGGATCTCCTTTGCTCTACAGTGAATAATTAAGCCCATGTCCAGTTACTTTTCAATGATTCTATAATGAACTGAATCTTCATGCTAAAGAGGGACATGTTTTCATGTTTTCTTTTCAGAAAGATGGTATTATTGATTAGTATTTATTTAGTATCAGAGATAGCCTGCTTGTGACTTTCTGTAGCACTGAATTATGCCATATGGTGGTATAGCAAAGCAGAATCAAATCTTAATTTCCCTGATGAGTATGTAAGATACCATATTATTTAATTAGCAGACTATGAGGGAAGAAGTTCATTTTATTGAGACTAAGGAGTACATTTCTTAGAAAATACTTTTCTCTAGTAAATACCAAAGGTGAAACACAGTAAGAATGGTAAGATGGTCACCAGTCAGTTAAATTACTCATGAGCTACTTGATAATTTGGTTTTCAGAAAAGTGCTACTGCCTAGAAATGATTAATAAAGCATTTAACGTAGTTGGCTTTTTTTTTTTTTTTTTAACGTAGTTTGCTTTCTATTTGGCTGATATATAGCTGATACGCACCCAAAAGGAGTTCTTTTCATGGTGGAAAGTTTTTGTTTTTCACAGTCCATTTTTTCCCCCATACTGTTCCATTTCATAAAGGTTTCTACTAGTTTGTCCAAAATATTTTTTCACAAGAAACCTGTTTCTGTTCATAATCTCATTTTGGAAACTTTTTTCTCATTCGCTGTTACATTTTAGTTTACACAGATTCTTGATTCCCATGGATAGGTACATAGTTCCAACAGAGGTTAAATATGGTTTAGAACAGTGGTTCTCAACTGGGCTTGACTTTGCCCCCCAGGGAACATTTGGCAGTGTCTAGAGACATGGCACAGCTGGGGCAGTGCCGCTGGCATCTGGTGGGGTGCTGCTAAACAGCCTCATCGGCTGCACAGGACAGCCCCCTCATGAAGAATTATCTGACCCAAAGTATCAATAGTGCTGACTTTGGGAGACCTTGATTTGGAGTGATACAAAGCAGGACATGCTGAGTCAGTATTTTCCTGCCTTTGCCTTCCTTATTTCTGGTTTTATAGAACAAAGGGTAAAGGGACTGAACAGTATAGTGACATTGAGAACATTCTGCTGTTCCCTGTGCTTCATCTGACAACTGCCGTAACGAGCTCTGCCTTAGTCTGATGCCATTTGTTCCTTACTGTTAAGGTGATGACGTTTTCCTTTGGGATTGTCCTTTCAAGAGACTAGGCCAAGAGCAGTGCATATCAATCCTGTCTTAGATTGTACATTCTCACTGGTTGGCACACTAGTGTATTAAATTTGTGTTCCAATTTAAATCCTAGTGTGTTGGCATATCTTGCTCACCTGTTGCTAAGTATAGATATAGGTAGATTTATATCCACCTATCCATTAGTATGCAGATACTATTAATGTTGACTTTCTGGCCACAAGGTCTTTACTATAAAAATGATTGCTAATTTTGTTTTCATTTGTTAACATATCTTGTTTTGTTTCTAGTCTGTATGACTATACAGCATGCCAAAATTGCTTTAAGTAATACAAACAATAGAGAATTACTTACCTTCAGCCACTATTATATTTATTCTAGTCCCTTTAGGACTCTATTTGGTGGCATCAGACTTTTTGGAAAGCAATAACCACCTGTATTCCATTTATATGAATAGCTACATAAACATGTGGGAGGTAGAACTGGCAGTTTTGGCGATTTTCCTCTTTCTCCTTTGTGGGAACAGTTCTTTCCAGCTGTTTTGCAATTTTAACTGCTTTTATGTTGGCACATTTATCATTCAATCAGTGCTTATAGGCCATGCAGATGATAGATTTTATTTTTGTTTTAGGGCCATTGTAATACTTGTAATTAGAGGATCAATGATCTTCCCTCTTTCTAAAAGAGACTCAGTGGTACCTAAGTGAAAGCCTCGTTTAGGTGCTTCTGCCTCTGGTTCTCAGGCTTGCAGGTAGTACTTGAGTATCAGGAAGTGCTTGTTGTCTGGGTTTGGGCTAGCTCACAGTTGGACCTCGTAAGAAACCTCAAGATGTTGAGTTGATTTACATCTCTTATGTTTTTTATAGGGTCAAGTCAGTATCATGTACCATGCTTTAAAAGGAAATTATACTATTAATTTTGCCTTTGCAACCCTGTATGAGGGGTAAGTGGAACCCAGAATTTTAGTAATTGAAGAATGAGTCTCACTTCATTTAATAAGATTGATTAAGGAAGCCTTAGATTAAAGAGTGAGTGAAATTGCTTTGAAAAGTAGTCAGACGTCTGGAATAAGAGAAGTTTCTAAAGACTTTGTGCACTTAATTTAATCATGTGGATTTTTCTCTCAGTGGGAAAAAAAATGAAGTAATTCTAATTTGGTCATTTTCCTGGTGTCAGAAAGCAATGATTTAGTAGTAGTGTTGTGTGTAACTTACACTCTCAAGAAGCTAGAAGGTTAGTACTTTTAAAATTTGGGTTATTGGGTTAGCAATGCTTGAGAGAAAGTGAATGATTTGGTGAGCCTGAGCTAGTGATTCAAACAAATTGTGTGATACTCAAAATGGAATTCGTTAGATCTACCAGAATGTATACTGTAATTTTTATATAACTTAGATTGTTCATTTCTGTTTTGATTATCAGATAATCCTATATCTTGATATTTGTATATCAGTGTTAAAATGGTCTTAATTTGTTAGGAGAAAGCTGCTGCTCCAGACGACACTGTGGAATGGGAGCAGCGTTAACAAGGAGCTTTCTTAACAAATAAAAAGCCAGCAGAGGGAGCTCAAGAACTGTTTAAAAAAAAAAAAAAAAGTACCAAGAAAATGTTTTTTGTATTCATTTGTTCATTATGCAAGACATATATTGAGTATATACTTAGCAGAAAGTGTGAGAAAAAGCCAAGAAATGTACATTTGCAAATCAGGAAATTGAGCTTTAATTGTGAGAGAAGAATTTATTTTTCCGCACGGTATCACTTACCAGTCGCCTGTAGGAGTCGCTCAGGGCACCAGTGGTACTGCAGCCCTAACCCACGTTTGCCGTTGCGATTCTCCTCTTCCTTCCCACCCTCATCATGGATGCGCCCATCCTTACCACTTCTGGTGATTTCTGCGGGCTTGGACTTGCTCCATCTGAGAAGTCCCTACCAACAGTTTTACAAAAACAAAGCCTTAAAGCTGCATTAGGCCAGTCTGTTGGGAAGGCACACCAGCTGGTGATGGCAGGCTCTTTGCCCGTCTGTTGTGTTGAGGACCGGTGGGGACACTCGAATTTGGAAGCCATAGTGCTGTGGCTGTCCTGTATCCCACCAGATGGCGATGTTCTTTATCTTTAAAAAGATGCTGCCAGTGTTGGCCTTGCTCTTATTTGTTTCTGCTCCTAGCCCAGAAACCAACATCTACCAGTTTTTGGCATCATTTTAAGTGAATAAAACCCTCTTTTCCCACTGTCCATAAAAATTGGCACTTGCCAGTTATTTTTTAGAGAATTAGGAAGCTCTTGGGCTCCCCCTACTGATATTAGATTAACAAGTAGGTTCATTAACAAATATAAACACTACCCAGAAGGTTTCAGTGTCTTGCATAATTAGAATAAACAATGAATAAAGACAGCCTGAAGGGGCTGGTCCCATGGCATCATCTGGCTTCTGTTGCCTAAAGCCAAAGAGCCTAGAAGCAGAGCTGTGAAAAGGGCCTAGTCTGTGCTGGGGGACATGTGGGGAGATCACAGATATGTATAAATGTCTTGTGTCTCCCTGTGGGAAAATGAACAGTTCTTGGCCATTCAAGAGAAGAGAAGGGCAAAGACAGCCTGGGAAAGACGTGCTTTAATGGCTCTGTGTGTTCTTGCTACCTTGGCCTTTGTTTGCTCATGCCCTGAGTTCAGCTTCCCATGAGTGTCTAAATTTAGACCGTGGCCCGGTACTCTGAATTATAAGTGAAGCATTACACAAATTTCATAGTTTTGAAGTCTCTTAACTTGTGTAAGTGTACTTTAAAATGGAATTTTTATTTGGATAGTAAAAATAAAGCAGCAACCTTTTGTTGAAGTCCGGTGTATTACATTTAGAATCTTCCACGTTACAGCTTCTTGATTAGGGAGAGCCTGCGCTTTGGCTCGTCTTGGGAGTAAAAGGTTAGACTGAGGGCGGCACATGGGCAGTGAGCCTCATTTCAGGTGAGGAAGTGGGTAACACTGCCAGGTAAGATGATACAAGCTGAATTTTGATCTGTCTCTTTTTAGAAGGAGTGAAACTTCAGCTAATTAAAATTTTTGGAAAATATGTTCTAGCTATATCGACATAAAGTTTCATGACTCTCTGCATGAGTGTGGAGTCTGCTGAGGGCTGCATTGGTGGGGTTCCTATGCAGGGCCACATGGCAAGTCCTGTAGGAGGAGCGTCCCCACAGGAGGCAGGGAGGCAGGCAGGAACAGGTCTGAGGTTAGCATGGAGGAGTGAGCAGCCGGAGGGAGAGAGCAGCCGGTGCAGGTGGGCAGGATTGCTGGAGACTAAAGTGAGTGAGAGCTCCTGTGGGGGGTCACATCTGTGGGGTGAGGTCAGGGGTAGCCCTGTATTCCCTGTGAGGAGCACGGGCTTGACTGTACAGTGATGGAGAACCACGGCAGGAGAGAAGTATTGCAGGCAGATCTTAATTTTAGAGGGACCTCTCTGGAGCCACATAGAGAATAGAGAACTCATCCTCTAGGAGAATATATTTTGTAATAATGGTAGCTGATATTGTCCAGTGGTCAGTACTCATCTGTGGTTTTCTACTTTATGGCATTTATGTATTGATTCTCTAAAAATACCAGTGGGTCATTTTTGTACTTTAGTGATTAATTCAGCTTCGCATTTGGTGTTATAAGCTATTAAATAATTACAGTATTTTATTTTGGACAGTTGTGCATTTATCTGTTAAAAGGAATAATAGAGTTGAAATTCCCATTTCCTAGAGAGGGGTGTGTGTGTGACTTGCTACTCTCCTCAAATGTAAATTCCTATTCCGTGTATCGCCTCATTCTCTCATTCCTTGGCATGCCTGTCCCTAGAATTCCAAGTGACTTTTATAGTTCTCAACCATTTCTGCAGCTTTTTCTCTTTTTTTTCCTTCACTTGGAAAAACAAAATGCTTTGCAGAACTTAAAATGTATTCTTGGAGTGGAATATTACTGTTAACAAGTGTAGAAAACTTTACGATGTAAATGCAGATTATCCTACTGTGTAATTTTGGGGGGGAGTATCTAAAACTACAGTTTTAGAATCGGTTGGTTCAAGTGGTGAAATTATTTTTAAAAATATTGAAATACATCTCCGCATGTTTTGTGTTCATGCCCACAGAAGTGGAAGAATGTCAGCAGTCAGAAAATGCACCTGCCGCCGAATCTGGCTGCCTGGTGGCAGAGCAGCCGCACATCATGCGGAGTAGCAGCACGCCTGACGTCATGGAGCCACCGTGCTCAGACTCTCCACAGGGTACGGAGTAGCTGCACTTCCGTTTAACAGGACTGCAGATCCTGGTGGGAAGGAGCTGCACACCAGATTGCGTTCTGCATTTATTCTCACCCTAAAGGGAACCTTCTTTCTAAGTTGATTGCAAGGATGTGACTTCTGGCAATGAAATATTTTCACTGTTTATTTTACTACATTTATGTAAATTATATATAGTTAGGTGCACCTCTTTTAAGAGCAGCCTGTTTGAGGACTGGAGAGAAGTCTGGAGGGGCTGCAGTAGGTGGGAAGCAGAGAATGCTACACCACAGGGTCAGGGAGAGCAGCAAAGTTAGGGGAGGCAGAGGCGGGGCATGTGGGAAAGGGCTGTGTGAGGAGAGCCATAAAAGTTGATGGTGAGCACGGACGACTGGCCAAACTTGTGAGAAAGTTTATTAGCAGCTTGTGGCCTCTGCTGAGGTTGAAGACAATAATTTGTGATAACATCCATCTACACAGTGTCTCCGACACCTTTCAGCAAAACAGGACGTGGAAAGCAAAGAGGCAGATGGCTAGACCTGAAAACAGTGAACGACATATTTTTCAGGGAAAGCGCATGTTTTAGTTGTGTCTGGTGCCAGTGAGCGTGCTTATCATTTAATTCTAGTTTCATCGTTTAAGTAAGAAATAAACCAGCTTCTTTATCAACAAGTTATCTCATAGCCTCATCAAAAGACTAGGCAAGTGTTCCCTCTTAGAAATCTTCTTGAAATAAGAAAACACAATTAAGAAATAACTCGAGAGATGTATTATCTGAAAGATTTTCTATTCTCCAAAAGGTTTTGTGTAAAACTGTTGTGATTGTTTTCCCCCCTGAAATATTTGATAGAATCCACCAGTTGCCTGAAGTTTTCTTCTAGGAAGATTTTATTTATTTATTTATTTATTTATTTTAAAGATTTATTTATTTATTTGAGAGAGCGAGAATGAGAGAGAGAGAGTACATGAGAGGGGGGAGGGTCAGAGGGAGAAGCAGGCTCCTCACCGAACAGGGAGCCCGATGCGGGACTCGATCCAGGGACTCCAGGATCATGCCCTGAGCCGAAGGCAGTCGCTTAACCAACTGAGCCACCCAGGCGCCCCTTCTAGGAAGATTTTAAAATACCATTCAAATTTATAAATCATTTTAAGACTATTAAGATTTCCCTTTTCCTATTTTGATTTAGATTAAGATGTTTTTTTCTAGGAGTTTGTTCCATTGATGTATTTTTTTTTCAAATTTATTGGCCTCTTATGATCATTTGAAATTTTATAGGCTGTGTGGTGATATTCCCTTTTTTATTACTGATACTGGTTATTTTTGCTTTCTCTCCCCAATCTTTATTCTTGAGTAATACTGAGCCACCGTACCGCTCTATTTTCCTGTCAGTTCACCTGCCCAACTCAGGTAACTTTCCTCTGAGATCCCTTTCTGAAGGCCCCCAGGAGAGCTCTTGTTGCCCTCCCTTGTGCCAACTTAATGTGCTAAGTGGACCTGTTGGCTATAGTGAATAGCATTCAGTCCACTCTCTTAAAAGCTCTCTGTGGGTCAAAGATTCTATAGAGTAGACTTGACCCATAGGCTACCAGTTTGCCAGATCCATAACTCCTGTTTTTACATATCCTAGAATATCTAAATTTGATTAATTACTTATATATAAAAATCCTGTTCTAATTTTATCATCTGAAATTTTATTTTGTAAATTTTTCCCCCAAATCTCTAGGTCAAAAGGTAGAAAATGTACAGACTTTGAGTTCTTCAGAGTCCAAGCCTGTTCAAGAAAACAAAGGACATGTGAAGAAAGAACATGAAGGAGTAACAGTAAGATATTTTTGAACTGTATCAGTTTGTTATTAAAAATAAGCATATAAATTATTGGCAAAGTAAATTTATTAGTAGCAGCGATACTTTCTTTTAAAACATTTGTCCCTTTAGATGGGTTATTGGCGATTGGTGATTGGTTATTGAGATCTCTTAAAGGCTTGCTTTCTGTGTAAAATTATAGTCACATTACAAAAATAGAAAAAAATTAGCATGAAAATGGAATTTACCTTCTGGTCTGTACGTGCCACTCAATATTTTTAAGCAGGTATCCTTGCCTGTCAAACATACTCAGATTCCCTGTTCCTGATAACTGCTTTAGGTGATATGCTCCACCTGACGTGAGTTGCTAGATAAGTGAGTTTTTGCAAAGATCAGTTATGATTTCTTTTTTAGAAAATGTAAAATAGCATTTATTGGTTTTTTTTTTAGACCAAATATAAAGTATAAAGAAGAACATTAAAAAGTAACCCATATCTCATGTATGCAGGTAACTCCTGCTTAGTCATTTTTAAAAAACATGTAGTATATATTAATGGAAAACTCAAACATCACAAAAAGGTGCAAAATAAACAGAGAAGGCCGCTTCCTAGTCCTCCCTGCCTAGAAGATAACCAGTGTTAAGTTTTTCTGTCTTTATTTTTTAAAAGGGCATATACCAGTTTATGTATGTATATTCTGTATATATGTGTATGTATATTTCAGCAATCAAATAAACACCTACATACCCACTGCCCAGTTTCAGAACTAGAATTTTTCCGGTGCTGTTGCTTTGACCTATAGGTTCTTTCCTTGTCCCCTTAGAGAATAGCAATATGTTGGCTTTGTGTTTATCATGTCCTTGCTTTGCTCTGTAGTTTTGCTCTATATGTATGTATTTCCAAACACTATATCCTTTAGTTTTCCTTATTTTTAAACTTTATTAAAGGATATTATTGCTTTGTTTACTCAGTTATGTATTTTTAAGATTTATCAACATTGTGGCATATAGCCTCTTTTCTCTGCTGTATGACAATCCACTGTGAATAAGCCACAATTTATTTTTCCATACTCTTGTTGATGGACATTTAGGTTGTTGCAACTTTTTTTTTAATGAAAAATGAAGTTATGTACATTCATGTGTATGTTTCAAGATCTACATGTTTAAGATTTTCTTTACGGTGACTAGGAGTGGAATTAATGAGACATAAAGTAGAAGAATGTTCTTAACGAGAGAATGTGTGTTTTTCGAAGTGATTACAGCACTTATATTTCTGTCAGCAATGTGTTAAGAGTTCCCATTCATCCACATCAATACTTGCTATTGTCAGATTTAAAAATTTTGATGAGTCAGATGGGTGAAAATGGGATCTCATTTTATTTTGCATTTCTCAGACTAATAAAGTTTAAAATCTTTCCATATGTTGATTGACCATGTGTGTTTCATGTGATGTCTTTGCCATTTTCCTATTAATTTTTTATTTGTCTTTTTCTCTTTTATTTGTACTAATTCTTTATACAGTCTGAAGACTGATCCTATTTTGGTTATATATCTGGCAAATATCTTTTTCCAGCACGTGGCTTATATTTTCACTCTCTCAAGGGTGTCTGTTGATGAACAGAAGTTCTTAATTTGGGTATTTTTGTTAATTATTTTTATGGTTAGGTTTTATGAAAATCTTAAAATGCCAACTCTACAAGCATAAGAATATAAGTGTTTCAGTTTTGCTCTACACATTTAGGTCTTTCATCCATCTGGAATTGATTCTGTTTATGGAGTGAGGAAGGATCTAATTTTATTTTATTTTTTCCCACATGGATCACCACTTGTCCTGGGTCCCATTTATTGAATTCATTTTTCCTTCATTGATCTGAAATGAACCTTTCTCTCATATATACTTATCTTGACTCATCGGTTACTTTGTCTCTCCAGACAGTAATATAATATCTTAATTACTATAGTTCCCCTATTTCTTTCTCCCTTCCTCCCACTTTCTATTGAAAGCTAATTTTCTACTATCTTTTGTCTTTCATTGTTGCTATTGAGAGTTCTTCTGTCCATTCTGTCTAGTTGTTGTTTTTGCTGTTTTTTGTCCTTGTCCTTCGGTCTTCCTGCATTATATTTAGGTGCATTTTCTTTTGGTTTATACATTTGTCCTTTTTGTATATGCTATATGCCATGCATCTGTGAATGCTTGCTCTTCCATTGTTTTTGGAAAATTCTTGATAATAATTTTTCAAATATTGCCTCTTTTTTGTTCTTTCAGCTCTTTTTTTTCTGGAATTTTTAGGAGAAATACATTTAGACTTTCTCATTTTTATCTTCCATGTTCTTATCTCCTTTCATATTTTCCACTCTTCTTGGCTGTCTTCTACATTCTGGGTAATTCATCAGATCTGTCTTTCATTCACTTCGACAGTTCTCTCTTTACTGAATATGGAGTTGGCTATTTAATACTTCCACTGAGTTTTTTAGTTCAACAATTATGACTTTTGCTTCTGGTTAATTATTTTCAAGCATTTCTTGTAATTTCTAATAATCTCTTGTTGCTCACTTTTGTGATTCCCATCTTTTATTCCTTTAAAATAGCCACAAATTACAATTCTAAATTCTTTTTCTGATTATCTGAAATCCTTAGGGGTGGGGATGGGGTCTAAGTCTGATATTTACTGTTTCTGAGACTCTTGTACATGATGATTTATTTCCTTGGGTGTTGGGTGATCTTTGATTTTGAGTTCCTAGCTGATGGGTCTTAATCTACAGAAAACCTGGATGTCTGAAGTGATGGAGTTTCCCCAGAACGTGTGCATTTGTTTCTTCCAGGAACCAAGGAGTGCTTCTTTAATCCTGGACTCTTGGTCCTTTTGCCACTGGCAGTGGTAATGCTAGATTTACCCTTATGGCAGCCCCGTTTCACTGCTCTGGTTTCTGCTCACTTTGGGGGGTGGGGGGCGGAATTGTGGATCACTGGGGGGAGTTTTATTCTACTTCCTGTGAGCCTAAAATTTTGATGTAAAATCTAGTTCTGTAGCTGGAGGAAATTGCATCTCTCATGTAGTCAGAAGCAGAAGTGCCCGCATTCTGCTTTTTAGTTAAGGAAAGATCCTGGGTATATTTCTATTATCACGTTAGGTATATATCATCCTTCTTTAAGGCTGGGTAATATTTTTTCATGTGGTGTTAGTCTTCTGAATAATTAATCCATGACCTACTTCTGTGTTTTAGCTTCATAATTATTCTGTCTTTTAATTATACATCTCAGCTCCTCCTTTTCATTTGTTTGCTTGTTTAGTAGTCTTCCCTTTCGTTTGCTCATTGGACCCCAGGTTTTTTATGCACTTTGCCATGGAGGACCTTAAATACTACATCTTCATTCCTGACTTTCTCCTCTATCTCATTAGTCCTGGAGTTATGGTGCCCACTTACAATACATTTGCTTTGGATATTTAGCCCAAAGATGAAAATTAAAATATCAGAAATCTCTCAAGTTCCTTTGTTCTTATGCTTCCTTCTTTCCTTCTTCCTATCCTTCCTTCCTTCCTTCATTACCATTGTTCTCATGGTCCCCTAGATTCATATCCTTTTGTGATTTAATTTTCCTCCACTCTCATATACAGCTCTCATATAAGCTCTTGTCTGTCATTCTACAGCATTTTCTTATTTGTCTTTTCTTCTCCTTTTCCACTGTCAAAAGCCTTATCCTCTCATTCCTTAATCACTATAACAATTCCATAGCAATTTTCTTCTTAATTTTAATCTATCCCACAAATAAGTACTAGACTTATCTTTCTAGTTATATTTTTAATCACAGTAAACTATTGTCTGGAACATACAGTTGCTCGTTTTGTCAATATTGGGTTGAAATTTGTAAGCCTGATGTTGAAGGCCAGTTGGCAGCTACCTCTTTTAGAAGGTGGTCTGCATTTTCTTCTTAACATTTTCCTTCTTCATCTGACTGCCTTGCATGGCCTGCTATATAATCAGCTTCTTTTCCTGCACATAGAACTTGCTGATTACTACTCAGTGCTTCCTGCCTTGAATCCCCTCCTGCCTTCTCTCTACCACTTCATGTCTGTTGCCTTCTTGAACAGCTCTCCTGTAACTGTGAGCCAATTAAGGTAACACTTTATTCTGCATACCTTTTAGAGAGAGTTTACTTGCATATTTTGCTTATGTACCCTGTAATCATTTTGTGTAATGTGTATGTTTTGTCTCTCCAAGCAAGTTATAAATTTTAGAGCATACAGATTGCCTCCAAATGTTTTAGTCCTCTCTATTTAGCACAAGGTTTAGTGTGGAGTGGTGCTCAGAAAAGTCTGTTGCATATTTAACAAGGAGGCACTGAGCGACCTTTAGATGTCTGGGTAGAGTTTACACCTTCCCTGCCAGCATCCTCACCATTCCTGGGCAGCTCAGGCCTTCTGCAGAATTGGTTTCACTATGTATGTGTGCTCAAGCAGAGGTACAAATAAAACTTTAAAATAAATTATTTCCATAGAAACTGGCATCCCTTCTCAGTAGATCAGTTTAAGTGGATGTCACTTGACAAAGGAGAAGCCAAAAATTTCAGATCTTGAGTAATTTGTAATTCAATTATAGTAATTTGTGAACACATATCCTTCAAATGGAAAACATCATTCAGTTTTTTGTTGCTATTATTATTGTTTCTTTTTCTTTAGAAATGCGAACTAGAAACTTAACAGTCTTATAAAAATTAGAACTTTCCTGTCACAAATGTATTATTTCTTTTTGTCTGAAGATCTTAGTTCGAAGAAGCAGCAGCCCTGCTGAATTGGATTTAAAAGATGATTTGCAGCAGATGCAAGGAAAATGTAAGGAAACACAGAAGAGTAAGTTCCAGGAAATGCAGTCTCTGTTCATCCAACTTCAGAGTCATCTATTTTGTTTTCTTCTACTTTCTGACTTGTATGATATCTTATCCTTTGAGGAGACATGGTTGTGAAATGGGACATTTTTATTCCTGGAATCCCAGGATTGATGGACGGTACACATGTGCAGTAAAACAGATCCAGTCCATTATGTGTGCCATAGAGGCCTGTCATTCCACCCTGGGCCTTTCTCCATCTGAGAGGCACAAGCAAGGCCAATGGCTGGGTGACCAAACAGACCCAGAAGGAAAAGTGATCTTCCCCAGAAAGTTCCCACAGGCTAGGAGCAAAATGCTTCAGAAGTACATTGAGGTCAATGGTATAAGTATTTAAAAAATGAAATTTGATTCAAATCCTTAGACATATTATATACTGTATGTAGACTATGGCCCTAATAATCTGCTTCCCTGAAGTCAGCTGCCTGGCTGCCCCCTTCTCAGAAGCGTAGTAAACAACTCCTGCAGATCTAGGGTGCTTTTGGTAGAGGCAGAGGAGCTCCTCTTAGGCTCTACCTTCAGACCCTGTTGGCTTGGAGTTCTGTGGCAGATGAAGGAGGGACCTGACACGTTAGTTACTGGGGCAACTTTCAGTTTATCTGGTGGCTGGGACAACTTGCAGCTCTTGGCACGTGAAGAGAGGACAGCAGATTAGAAGCAACAAGGCTGAGGGACTGTCAACAGTGAATGCAAAGAGCAGACAGGAAGGGTAGACACATAAAACTGTTAGGAAGTAGACAGAAGACTTGGAGGAGCAGACTGTCTAGGTCTGTTTTGTGTCAGACTAAATAACTCTATAAGGCTTAATAGCCTTTGAAAGCATCATTGTATTATGACAAATTAGAACTTTTTAGTGTTTAAAGGGGAGAATTTCTTTTGGAGAAAATCTTTTGCAGTTGGACACCTCATCCCCCAGTGAGCCTGGGTGATTCACACTAGGTTTAGGTCTAAACATTGAACTCAAGGTAAAAAGCATCCTTAGGCTCTTGTAGCTGGTAGAATAAACTTGCATTTGTGGTGAAAGGAATTTCCATCATCTTCTTCCACCTGTGCCCTTTCGTAGTTGAGTAGGTTGCAGTAGAAAGCTGAACGACTTGATGTAATCTTTTGGGGATATGGGATAACTGAATTGAAGACTCCCTTGAAAAGATTGTCACTTGGTAATACGTAGGGGAGCTCATAATGACCATTAATGCCCTGCACCTAGGAGCTTTGTTTGTGACCAAGATCCCCACAATGTCAGCTTTTGAGCCCCCATCCCCTGAACGATTCCTGCTGTATCAGCTGTTTAGTTACTTGCATGTTGGTGATTGGGAACATTCTGATTTGCAGCTATTTGTTATCTCAGACTTCGGTTCTTCCATTGTGCCAGGTGAAGGTATCAGCAGTGACACAGCTCTGGGCTATAACAATGAGGTAGAGCTGTCCATGAGCCCATGGCCAACCTGTGAGGAAGACCCAGAACTGAACACTCCCACAGATGGTGTGACTGACTCCGATGCCCGCCATTGGTTACAACTTAGTCCCACCGATGCTTCGAACTTAACAGGTAACTGCATCTTTGAAAAAGAGGCACCAGTGTGACCAGTTGGGAATCCCAGAGTTTCCCAGTTGCAAGAATTCTAGGAATCCTTTAGCACAATGATGATGGGGTGCTACCTCCAGCCAAACTGATGTGGCAGCCCCAACCACCTGTACATAATCAGTCATGAATTCTCCGAGTCCAGTGTGGAAAAGATCCTAAAACAGTGGTCAGACACAGGAGGAAGCAGGCCATGCTGACGACCACTGTCCACCATGGGAGCGAGTGATGATACTCATGCCAAGCCTTTGCCATCCCTGACCAAATTTGCTTGACTCTGGAAACAGAAGAGTGATTTATCCAACTCACATGTATCACAAATCCAGAATAAGTCAGAGAGTCTGAATAGCTTATTGATTAATATTTTCTTTAATTTTTACAATAAAATGTTTGACACATACAAGGTAAGTTGTGACCTATATGTAAGTTATGGGCCATAGTAATAAAATGATCACGTGTGAGCCTGCTACCCAACCTAAGAAATAGAATGGCTCCCACACCAGTGAAGTTCTCTGTAGGCCCTTCTCAAGTCCCTTCCCTTCTTTCCTCATCCAGTTGCCCTAGGTGCCCCAATTTATTCAATAATAATTCCCTTGATTTCTTTATAGTGTAACCACATATATCTGCATCCTGAAACCATGTATCATGTCATTTAGATTTTAGACTTCTAAAAAATGATATCATATTCTGTGTTTTTTGCTACTTTTCTCCCCTGAGTAATGTATTTTTAAGATTCATGAATGGACTACAGAGGCAAACTTTCTGGATCTGCATCCAGGCTTTGCCAACTAATTGTTGGGTGGCCTTGAGCAAGTTAATCTCTCTGTCAATTTTGTAAAATATAGAGAGTAATAGTCCCTATTATAAGATTGTTGGAGGAATAAATATGTAAACACATAAGCCAGGTGCACAGAACAGTGCATGTGGAAGCGCTCTGCAGTTTTAGCTATACACATGCGTGCATGTGCGCGCACGCACACACACACAAGTCCTTCCTGGCCTACCATATTCATGCTTATGTGCAGATACCTTTTAGGAAAACAACAACAAGCTAGAAAGCACAAGTTGAGTAAAAAGTGCTATTAAAATGCTAAAAATCATTTTAAAATTATAAGTAAAGTCTAAAATTTTGCCTTAGTTTTTTTTTTAACCAGGCAAACTTTGGTTTTCATTAATTATTTTATAAAATTTAACTAGTCTCTAATGTTCCTGGAAATTGCTGATGGAGTAACATCAAAACTTCATAAAATTTACATAGAAAAATGGTGTTGAGTAAAATCGTTTATCTGTGAGATAGATAAGACCAAGACGTATGATCTTAATGTGTATTTAATGTGTGGTATTTTAATAATAGAATAGATTCATGAACGAAGAAAAACAAACCATTTAGCCATAAGTGAATAATGCATTGCCTTATAATATTGCAGTGCTGTCCTTAAAAGACAGTGGATATCTTTGGTTTATGTATTCAAAGCTGCCAATGGTAGAAGCTTTACAGAGTCAGTGAGAAAATTATTGGCAAAATCATGTGCTTAGTTTTATAAATTATTGGATAGCAATTTGTGCTTCTCAAATTTTTGATTCTTTTAAAACCGAGTTAAAATTTTTTACATATAATGATATATAGATATATGTAATAATTTTAAATAATAATACTATAAATTTGTAAGGGATTTAACAGTTTACAAAGAATTTTGAGTCATCTTCTCTGATTCTGGATGGTAAGCAGTCCAAGTCTTATAAATGTTGCTTTAGAAATGGAGAAACCGGGACACAGAGAAATCATATTGTCTGTCTGGAAAGTAATTGCCAGAGTTGGAACTGGCTTCCAGAGTGTTTTGACTCCAGTGCAGCGCTATGTCTACTCCTTTCTACTGCATTGCTGTTCAAATTACAACTGCAACCCCCTTTAAACCATTTGAGAATTATTTATATATTTATGAAATAAATGGCTTCTTTGGGTCCAGTATACAGATTATCCAAGGGAAATCATAATCGTAATACTGTCAAAGGCAATAGTGAATTTTCAGTAAGTTGAATTTACTTAAACAAGAACTAGTTTTAATTATTTTTATTGAAAAGAAAGAAAATTGGGTACCTACTTCTTTTGTCTGTCCTTTGGAAAGATTAGTTTTGATCCCATTTCAGAGTATGCATGGGACAGGTCAATTTAATAAACTTGTGTGAGGTAATTTTATATAATGCACTCTATGTTGTGATTAACTCCTCCAAATACTTTGTTCTTCTTTGAAATACTAATATAGAGACTCAGTACACTTAGTTCAATAGTTCATCTTGTCATCTGTGAAAAGGACAAACTGTAATATGATAAGGTTTAAGGATTATCACAGTTCTGAATTTAACTTTCTGTTCTTAAGAGAACAATTTCTTCATAAATGTACGAAATAAAACTCATGTTAGCCTGATCTTTAGGACATGCAAAGAGAATGATCAAACAATTTGAGTGTTTCCTTCTTTCTCATTGAATAATCCTACCAGTTATCAAATATTTAGCATAATAAACTGCTTCTGAAATCTTGAATTCCTTCATCACTGGCAAGCTAATAGTTTTATATTTGTTTTCTTGTTTACATTATTACATGTTTCCTGAAAATAACAGGTAAATTTATTTTTCTTCATTTCAAAATGGGGATTTGTTTTAATCAAGTACGGCAAGACATGAAGACATGGAAATGATTGTTGTGAAGGAACAAGTTTATACTCATAGGTCCGTAGAAACAGGGCCATGGTATGCCATGCTGGTGCAAGGTGGGGGAGACACATGGGGAAGCATCAGGATTGATCAGAAGAGGGGAGAGAGAAGGAAACATGGGCAACATCCTTTATTGTCTTTTCAAGGCAAGGCTGGTGAAGCACATTTAGGATTGGCTAGTTTGAATAAATTCAGCTGATTTTGGAACATTGACTGGTTGCCTGGTTCCTGATCGTGGGGTGCTTAGGCTTTGATGTGTAGCAGCTAGATAAAGGAGGTAGTTGGGAAGTATGAGTGTTGGATTGGTGGGTTTACGTATGAAAGACACATGAACTGTTTGCTATCTCTAGGAGTTAACTAACCCTGGGAGGGGCAGTCTCTTCCTGGTCAGGAAAACCCTAGATGGCAGAGCATCAAGAATACAGAAAATAATAAAATATAGCTAATACATACATAAATTTTGCTCTGTTGAGGTCATGATTTTGGAGGGAAATATTTATGACTTTATAGCTAGGAAGCAGTATTGCTATTGACCTCATCTCTTTTTTAGCAAATAATTTACAAACTCGAAATATTGATATTTATGCTATAAGAAATAAAAAGATGAATAAGTCATAGCCGTGTCTGACTTAAGAGCTTACCAAGAAGACAGAAGACATTTATCCTGATAGCCACAAGCAGTAGATAAGTGTTACAGTTTTTTAAAGAAAGCTTTAATCACAGGGATAGACAACTAAGACTAATGGAATGGAATATAAAATGCATACTGAATCCACACAGGCATGGAATTGTGATATATGAAAGACTTGGCATTCCAGATCTGACAAGGAAAGAATATATTGTTCAACAAATGCCTGTGGACAAGTATTTAGCCATACGGAGAAAAACTAAATAGAATCCCTACCTCACACCATGCTCACAGATGGATAGAATACTGAAATGTGAAAAGATTTTAAAACTTTTAGAAGAAAAACATTTTCTAAAAACATGTCTAAGACCTTGAGTTAGGGAAGATTTTCTTAATCAAGATTTAAAAAAAGCCATCAATCATTTTCAATCAATATCAATGAGAAAAATATCAATCATTAATTCAACTTTAGCATACTTAAGATTTTTTCATTATCAGAAAAACTTTAAGAATTCCAAAGGTTTACAGAACTCCAAAGGGTACAAGCCAGCTTTGGTGCTCTTTCCTTTCCAGGTGTCTGTCAGGTCAGTGATACATTTTAAGATAAGACTCAGTAAGATATTGTATCAAACATATTTAGTTTATTTGAAGGAGGCTCTTTGGTATTACCCCACTGGAATATAAGCTTTAGGAGTGAGGGGTTGTCAGTTGTGGTCACAGCAGATTCTTGACTCCTAGAATGGTGCATAGCAGGAGAGAACATTCAATAAATACTTGAATCAATAACTGAATAAGCTTTAAGTTGCAGGCTACTGTATTATTTAGTTAAAAACAGAAATTGCATGGAGCACTGGGTGTTATATGAAAACAATGGATCGTGGATCACCACATCAAAAACTAATGATGTATGGTGACATAACATAATAAAATTTAAAAAAAAAAGAATTTTAAAATTTAAAAAACAGAAATTAAATTTTAACCTTTTTTGGGGCGCCTGGGTGGCTCAGTTGGTTAAGCGACTGCCTTCGGCTCAGGTCATGATCCTGGAGTCCCGGGATCGAGTCCCGCATCGGGCTCCCTGCTCGGCAGGGAGTCTGCTTCTCCCTCTGACCCTCCTCCCTCTCATGCTCTCTGTCTCAAATAAATAAATAAAATCTTTAAGAAAAAAAAAATTTTTTTAACCTTTTTTAAGAATAAAAAGTCCGTAAGATTTAGTTTCAAAATCTCTTTCATCTAGTGTATTTATCACAGTCCTGCCTCCAAATGTTATAAAAATCTTTTTACCACTTATGCTTTTAATTATAGCTGTGCATATGAATTACATTCACTGTTACCTGCCACCAAAACTGTTCTTGCAGGAACAAGGTTTGTGAGCATTCTCTGCCATTGTGCACACTTTTGGCATTTTCACTAGGCTTTGACCTACTTTGAAGTCATGAAATTATAAGAAAAATAACAGTGATAGACTACCAGGGGATTGGTTGCTCACCTTCTAAAATCTTTAAAATGAACAATGTCTGGAAAGCAGATGAGGAAGAAGAGGAGAGTCAGGCCGTAATGGTGGTCAACAGAACGCCAACCCGCTACTTCTCCACTTTTGATCATCAAAATCCAGGCCTGATTTTT